AAATTTAAATCAATTTTAAAATTAGAATTGAATCGACGAGAAACGAAAACAAAGGAACCAGAATACCTTCTATTACGAATGTCAATTTGCTTGCGGTCGAAACAGATACACACAATCGACTGACCGTATGCTGCTTTATATTAGATTCTTTTTGTTTTTATTTATCCTGTCATATCAGATGATTTCGTGTGAAGATCAAGGAAAAGCCTCCGCACAGATGGCGTTATGCATACTGAAGTGCTTTTTATTTCGATGATCTTTCGACGATCGACTTGCATTACTTAACGTTTACAAAGCGAACACCGTGCACAAAGCTTATGTTCGCCTGTTACTTGTTGCTCCGATAGACATACTTACGGACCTTCTGTCTTGAAAAATGCATTTTTTTTGCCTTCAATTCCCATTTCTACCAAAACCAAATATCTAATCAAGTCAAAAGACGAAACAACGAATGCCCCGCAATATATATTTACGATTCGACAAATTATGCGCACCTAGTTTTACGGTTAACGTTTGAATGACTATTTCGACTTGTCTGAAACGATCCACTTCTTCTTATTCATTGTTTTTTTTTCCTTGTTTGTGTTTGCTGATATATGTATATGAATGATACGAGAAGCAACATCAAAAATACGTATGCAATGTTTACATGATCACATTTCGCCAATTTCGTACAACGATCGACTCGAAGAAATGATGTGAACTTGTGATACGGTTGGACATTGGGCAGAAAATGAATAGCGGTGATTGCCATATGAACAATACGATTCACGGCTAAACTCAAAATAAAGATGATGACGATGAAAGCAGACCAGTCGTGGCGCGCACAAACTATTCAGAAAAGATCGGTCACGTACATCGGCGAACCACAATACAAGTGTGCGAAAAATATACATACATGCGTACCTTATGTCGAACAAACGATTGCACCACTATATAACTGCAAATTTATCAGTGTTTATCGAATGAAAAAAAAAAACCAAATTTGCGTTTTAAAAAATATATATTTCTTTTTTTTAATATATATAGTTTTTTAAATTATTCAATACAAAATCAGCAATCTAATTTAATAGACATATACGTATTGCTTAAACACAATTCAGACTATTGTCGCTTAAACCAAACAATTCGAACAACTAAATACAAACTATGGACACATTTTGTTTTTGTTCTCTTTAAATAAATAATTTCATGAAAAAATTTAACGGAGTTGAGGATTTTTCAGAACTTAGACATAAATTAGGAATATATTCGGCAAAATGGAGATGAACAGTAGTAAGACGGGATGGTGTAATTGTAGGGCACTATTGGTAATAAATTGACTGCTACCATTATAACTAACTGCTTTGGTTGTATCAATGAAATTCGGGTGTTGTCTTATCGCGGCAGGTGATGATGGTGAATCAGATGTGTTGGCATTTGTTTTTCGAAAGATTGATGTGACAAAATTATCGATGTCATCCGCATGATACATTGAAAATAATAAAATCACAACCACAACACAACCAGCGATATATGGATGACATTCTGGACAGTATGATCTATTGTTATCTAAAATTTGATTTAAATAAAAGAAGATTTATTTCATTAATTGATTCACTATTTCATTGATCATGAAATCGATATTTTCATTTAAATAAATAATTTGAATCTTACAAAGTCTACATTCCATTTTTTATGTATATTTAATTGTTGTCCGCGTAAAATTCTTCGATGATATATGATTGTTGCTCGTTGATGGTTCGTTGATGACTGAATCTTGTGTGTGTGTTTTTTTTTGCATTGAATTTGTTTTTTGTTGTTTTCGTACTCGTTCGGATGTTAAAATTGAACATGCGGCCATGTGTGTGTGTGGGTTATGGTTAATGCCCAAATATTTGTAATACCATATATACCTAAGCGTACAGCGACTGCGTTAAGAACACTTTTTGTCATGTCATGTGTTTGTGTTTCGTGTGTGCATATGTGTGTATTACATTCGTGTACGAAGCAACGTAAATACGAAGAATCAAAATAATGAAGGAGAAGAAGAGAATCAGTTTTCTTTCATTACAACTACCACTATATTCTAAAATGCTGCTATCGGCCCGATGTGTGTACGGTGCCGGTGCACATAATCGTCTCATAGGAATCATATTTTGCTTGCTTTTGTTGCGGTTCGAACGATGTGCCACACACCGTTCACGTTGTTATGTGCGCCTGATATTTTTTCTATCAGTGGAAAAAGAGTTATCTTTTTTTTACCAATTAAATTTAGCGCAATGCTTTTCTTTTTTGCTGGATGATCCCATTTAATTGTTTTGCTGTGTATATTATATTATTGTGTATTCCGTATATCGTCAATCTCAAGTGAAATTGACGCATTGAATTCCTTGTTGAAAATTTCCAATGGAAATTTGCGTTCGTGTTGTTCATGTTATGTTGTTTATTTACTGCTGCTATGCTGTTATGAGCTCCTGCTCTTTCATTATCGACTACTATAGTTTAATTCTAATTTTTTCCCACGTTCGACATTAAGTGATCGCTTTTTGACATTGGTCCAATATTAGTTAGACGAATGAAATTAAATATAGATAAAAATGATAACCCCGTCGATTTGAGCAAATTTTTGGTCCAATCCAAAGTGTTTTGTGACTTAAACTTTCGTTTGTATCGATGACTTGTTGTTTCTTTTCTCTGGTTCCACTTTTTCCATAAGCGAAAGAGAATCACCACACCGCACAACAGAAGACCCATGAACGTATGCATTTTCAAGCACTTTTTAAGTCGACACACACACACACATACAAGAGGAGAGAGGCGATTTTATGTTTACGAAAATTTGGGTAGAAGCAAGTTGAATACGGTGATCAATCATTTCATGAACAACAAATGTGAACATGAACAACCATTTTAAGATTGACGTCAGCCATTTTATGTCCACCCTCTCGGTATTTTATTTTCTTACTCTCTTTTTTTTTTGGTAAATGTGTTGATGTTGCACATATTTTCGAATATTATTCATTGGCCATTTTATTGATCTTGCAGTTTTATTCACGCTCGTACATGTTTTTCTTAATTTTGTTTACATTATTTTAGTTTACAAAACTATGATATCCACTTGAGAGTTACTCATCTTATCTCTTATGCACTGATTGTATGCTACCCATTGTGTGTGTGTGTCACTTGAATCAAACTGTGCTTAAATTTCATGAACACTATATGCTGAGTTGATTTTTTTTTTATTTTTTATTTTTCCAATGTGAATATGAAATTGATTTTATTTTGGATGATTTTTTCTTGGCGGTGGCTGTCGCAAATATTTGGAATAGTGCTGAATGGTCTTCGTGGTAGTTCGATTGCGTTGGCCTATGATACGAGACATGAGATTCCTTTTCTCTGTTGTACTGGGTTGTGTAGTCTCTGCTATCATTTCGCCAGCTTGTGAGTTTAACACTTCACCATAGATGTTTAACACTTCATCTTTATGAAAAAACGTAAAAAGCATTACGACAACAATGCAAGATGCCGGAACGACTGGATGTAGTTTTGGGGGGCATTTTTCTTTACGCGTTTCACTCATTTCACTGTCCATTTGAAAGAACAAAATACAATCCAAAAATTAATTTGAAGATTTGTTTTCTGTTTTTCAATTTCAAGTATGAAATAAAATGTCGTGTTCGAAACCTCGTACGATGTGCACCGATCGAATGTGCGAAGGCAACTGAGCACAGAAATGAATTGAACAAATGTTCATTGTGGGAAATATGAATTCGTATCTGTATGTGTGACATCTAAGTACGCACACATGTGTGTAACATGAACAAACTCTAAAGAATGTGAACAAACGCATGTTGAAGAAAAACATTTTTCAATACAAACCACTGGATGATCGCATCAGTTCTTATTAATATGCGTTGGAAATCATTTTTTTTTTTTTTTGAAAAAGTGTTTGGACTAGTCTATCGGTTGTTTGTTTATATTTCGATAACGTCACCAGCGTCGATACAGTTTACATGTAGGTTTTAACGTACGAATTGAACAACGTGCGTTGTTATTATGGTCGCCGGTTACTTTTTCTATCATTAGGAGTCACTTGGAGTCACTATATCATTTGGAGCTTATGTTAAAAAAAATTCTTACAAATTGTAGCAGAAATATCAAATCATCGAAGGCCTGTATAGTCCATAAAAATAATATTTGGTTTAAATAATAATTTTATAAATACAATTGAATCTTAAACTTGGTTGTTACAATACTATGATAAAATCAATTTTGTCGTTTTTTACTATATAGTTTTCTTTCTCGTATTTTTCAAGTATTGCTGGAATTCTGTTCTATTGAATACGTGTAATTTTAATGCGCAAAGCGGCATATATTCATTCAAGATAGATAAGTAAAAATAGTCAATCGATGTCACCATAATCCATAACTACCTATCTACTACATATCTTTTTCAAATTCAACTTTTGTGTGAAAACGCAAAGGCTGCAACCATGGTTATAAATTGCAAGATGAGACCAAATGAATTGTAATCTGCAAGAACATTAACTTTTCAATTCGTATTCACTATTTATATTAATTTAAAAAAAAACACGAATATTTAAAATGCATACCGATCGGTCTATCCAAGATTTTTCGATCAGTCGTCATTGTGCCGAGTTTATTCAAACTGTTTCAAAATATAGAGACAAAAATGTGTATACTCATCGATACTAAATGTACATAAGTGTTTGCATATATTTCTATAAAGACGAGTTAAATTGAGTTTCATGAATGGGAGTTGGTTCATTATGTGGTTTATTAAAAGGTAGTCTATTCGTGGACTGTTAATAATAATTCGAAATCTCAAGATCGTGTCAATCAGAAGCAGATCTCTTCGTGTTAACTTAAAAAATGTTTAAAAATGTATAGTTTCATTGGTTTTCTTCTGTTATAATCTATTTCTATTGTGGAAAAATTGGAAAACAAGAAAAGAGACAACGAGTCAACGACTGAACGTTTTTTTGAATTAAACTACAGCAGTCGGTAGTAAAAGAGCAGGAGCCCATAAGAAGACAGTGTTGACAGTTAAGCGAAAATTGTGTGGTAGATAATCTGTAAAGTTTTGAACTAATGTCTGTATTTGTCGCCCTCAAATCTCTCCATATTTAATTTGCGATCTGAATTGAAATTTTTATTTTTAAATAGTTAAATAGTTTTTTGGTTATCAAATTGATTGAATTGTTGTTAAATTAAGTTGAAATGGATATCGTTGATATGACGCGTAGATTTCGTTAATGAACACATTTGCACGAGAAAATCGAGATAACTCTTGTTTTTGAAAGTAAAAAATGTTCTTTAAATCATCTTTTTTTTTAAGAATAATTATAGTTTTATTTTGCTTGATACCTTTTTTTACCGAATAAACAAATGAATTAAGAGAAAAATGAATTGTTAATATGTATCCAATAACAGGTTTGTTAATGTTCAGTTTAATTTAAAGTTATCAACGTTCAGTTCTGCAGCGCTGAATACTACATCAGGTGTATTTCCAGTGCCTAAATGTGAATGATTTAAAAGAAAAATAAATGAATGTAATGCACATGAGCAAAAAATAAAACAAATCAAATACCCAAACGAATCCATTTTCTCGCTTGGCCATTGTCTTCATGGATTGAATTGAGCGCATGGCGCAATGCAAATATCGAAACAACTGATAGGGTAAGTGGTGGTTCACCGGTTGTTTTCGAACTAAAAACGCCCTCATTATTTACATTTTGTAAAAATTTAACCCGAAAATCAATTGGAATGTCCTTTGGACCCGGAACTTTATAATTCCACGTGCGATTTGTTATTAACTGGCCGGTTTGTTGATCATAGCTTAATTGTTCGTTCAACCAATAACCAATTCCCATCATAAATGCGCCTAATGAACAAAATCATATTTCAATTTATGTACAAACATAGAAGACAAAAAAATCGATCAACCTTCAATTTGTCCAACATCAACCAATGGATTCATACTTTTGCCGGTGTCTTCATGAATATCAGCGCGTAGAATTTGTAAATTTCCAGTTAAGACATCAAGCTCAAGCTCGACACTAGCACACCCGTTAATATTATAACTTTTTGCCTCTCGGTTCTCGAAAGTTTGTTTTTCAGTTAATTCGATGGATGCTCTCCAAGATGCTTGCACAATCTCAAGCCATGTGCCATTCGGATTCTTTTCCCGAATGGGTTTCATGCGTTCCAAAATGTGATCGCACGCTCTTTTCGCTGCCATACAAACTGCTTCACTTGTAATACTGCCACCCGTTAAAGTTCGATTAGCCATAACAATTGAGCTATGCTCTGTGACCGTGATCATGTTCATTGGAATTTTGAAAATATGAGCAACAACTTGAGCAACTTTGGTATTGATGCCTTGGCCAATTTCAATTCCACCATGCGAAATAGCAACCGTTCCATCACCGTGATAAATGGCAATATACGCACTGAACGAAGCCACATACAGTGTTGGAAATGTCATTACCGATACTCCAATTCCTCGTTTACGCCAACGATTCTGCTTATTAAATTCATTAATTTTCGCGCGACGATCGAAATAATCTGGAAATGTAAAAACATATTTTTTTGTCATGGTTTCATTTGAATAGGTGAATCGACACAAAATATTGATGTAAAAAGTCTTACTAATATCTTTTAAAAATTCGGGAAAAATTTTATGCAGTGGACTATCTGCATGGAAATTGTTTATTCGCACTTGGGCCGGATCAATGTTTATTTCGTGAGCTATGTGTTCCATCATATTTTCAAAAATTACAACTGTCTCAGTGGTTCCAGGTGATCGGGCCCATGTGGCACTTGGTGCGTCCGTTTTTAAACGATTGATGTTCATAAGCCATTCTCTTGCATGCGCATAACCCAAGGACATCATACAATGTAGCATGAAACCTGATGTGTCATCGTTCATAGAATACCCAAAATCCAACGTAACTGCTAGTGGTTTCAATTCAGTTAAACGGCCAGTGGCCGAGTCAATTTTTAAATCGTATTCCACTGCACAACCGTATCGTTTACCCATGATGGTCATATTTGATTCAATGTTCATGACAAACCGAACTGGCATTCGTAACAAATGACAGGCCACTGCACACGCACAAGCCACTTGTGACACACGAGTTACCTTTGCACCGTAACCACCGCCACAACGTTTAAAGGAGGCAATGATTTTACTTTGTGGCATTTTTAAGCAGTTTGCAACCGCACAATGCGATAAATCTAAGAATTGTGTCGAAACATGAAGATTTATGCCACCATCATCATTCGGGGTACAAAATACTGTTTGAGGCTCCATTGTCATGTGATATCTTATGTGAATGTTTTCGCAATAAAGTAAAAAAAAAAATTAAAAAACTTAAAATTCTTTATGGAAAGTCGCTGTACTTACTGTGATCCAATTTCAAAATCACCTTTGATTTTTAATTCCTGTCCAATCAGTGGCATAGCCAAATTTTGATTTGGCGGAATTCGAAATGTTTTTCTATCTTTGCATGCGTTCGATTCGTTTTTTTGACGCCAATGCCTCACAGATGGAATGATCGGTCGATTAATTTGCGATTTCTCATATGTAATGTCAACTTTTGTGGCTGCTGAATGTGCCACAGCCATCGTTTTTGCCACAATAACACCACACGGTTGTCCATTGAATTGGACTTCTGAATCAATCGTCAAAAAAATTGGTTCAGCTTCACTAAAGTAATCAATTGCTGCATTCAATGGCATAAATGAATTTTCACCAGGGATATCTTTGGCTGAAAAGAATGCAACTACGCCCGGAATGTTCTAAGAAATTAGACAAATTTAAAGCAGAAAATATTGAAAAAAAAAACTGGATCTTATATTAATATAATCTATTATTAATACTACCAGTGCTTTGGTTGCATCGATCTGAACAATTTTTGAATGAACCTCAGTCGCCGGCACAAATGCACACCACAATTCGTTATCCACTGTTGAAGCACTAAACATATCGTTAACATATTGAGCTTCACCTGTGCACTGTATAAGTCCTTCATACTTTGTAAGCGGTTGTGTGAGAGGATATGACTTTTCATCGGATTCATACGTTTGGATGCCAGACGATAATGGACGATCCAATCCAGTTCGACCCAAAGAATATTCGCTCTTGATTTTGTCTGCTGGGGCCGTATTCAAAAAGAATCGATAGAATAATGCGATGGCCAACTTTTGTCGGTAGTCGGCTGGTGGATCGGGTAAAACCGAGTCCGGTTCTATTTCATTTTGAAGCGATTTGATCGCTTTTTGTAAAACATCTTCCGTATAAAAATCATCAACGCCAGTCAACAATTTTTCCGTGGCTTCAGCATGTATGAATTGCGGATTGATTCCACCATAACAAATTTGACACGATTTCACTGACGCTTTGCCATCGTTCATACCGAATTCGAAAAGGAAGGCTGCATTCACCATTGCATGGGCATTTTGTGCGCGTGGCATTACTTTGTAGGAACGAAATACAAATTGATCGGGTGCCAATTTTGGAAATACAACGCTTAAAATGACCTTTTGCAACATATCCAAGGATAAAAACTCTTTTGGCGAATAAGTACGCACCAAACCATCAATTGATGCAATCTTCAGGTGCGCACCAATTGTTTCCAGCAACAGAAATATATCGGATGAAAATTCATTATGTGCATGCTTTATACACAAATTACCTGCTATCGTTCCAGCCTGAAAATTTTGTTTGTCGGTAAAAAGGAATCAAATAAAATGACAAATAATTATTTACATTTCGAACGGGTACATGCGCAACCAGATCAATATGTTTAGCCAATTCCGTGCCGTATGTGTATTTATTACATCTAGTGGCTGCACCCCTTAATGTTTCCATCAATTCGGTAAGCGACACATTTCCCCCGAATATCAACGATGATTCGTCTGCTTTAATTGTTTGAAGTTCTTCAATTGCTTTGATGTCAATGAAAATTTGTATATTTTCTGAACGTCGATAAACACCTAGTAAAGTTGGCATTCAAATTTATTATTCCTCTCATTGTTTCCAAATTTACTTATAAAAATTAATCCCGGAACATGAACGTACATAAATTGACTTGAAAATTCATAAAATATTATGTATGAACCTGAACCGTCAAATAAAGAGTCAAAGGGGTTCCCCATTTCCTTTCACTTTCTATTCGCGGAGGGTGGATTTCTCTTTTGTTTCATTCTTTTGTGTCTTAAATAAATAATTCAAAATCAAATTTACCATGAGCAGTGTTACCAGCAACCAACATGTATTCGGTATGCATAGTTTTGGTTGAAAAAATTCTCATTAATTCCGACAAATTGGCCGGTCGCAACCACATTCGTCCATCGTCGCCACAAATCTCTAACGACACATTTCGATTGATGCCACACTTTTTATTGCAATTCCCTTCAATTGAACACTTTCGATTTTCATTCATATGACACAAATCAAGGGTTAAATCTTCAATGTCAACGCCGTCACCACCGTCACCACCGCACGAGTCTCTTGCCAAAGATTTGAATGCATCCAAAATGGGTCGATAGCCAGTGCAACGGCAAATATTTCCACCGAAAGAATTTTCCACCTGCTGCATCGTCACTTTACCATCATTCGCTTGCAATAAACCATACATGTTCATTACCATTCCAGGAGAACAATAGCCACATTGAGTGCCATTGAAGTGATATAGGGCTTTTTGGATGGGATGATAGTCACTCTTCAAATTGCCTATTCCTTCGATGGTGGTCACATTCAAGCCATTACACGCATACACTGGCCACAAACACTAAAGATATAAGCATAAAAATGTTTAAAATGAGAGAAGAAGAGAAGAAATTTAATAGACGGACCGAATTAATTGCAAATGTTCGACGATCACCGGCTGGCGTTACAATGCCTGAAATATTTACATTACAAACACCACAACCACCTTCAAGACACATAAATTTCGTTCCCGTTAAACGAGCATGACTGCGAATGTAGACTAACAGACTCGTATCAATTGGCACTTCATTTGGTCGAACTGATAAAGGAATTAAGGCAGAAAAAGATAAATCGAAAATTAACGTTTAATCACTATAAATTACAGAGTTCTTGGTCGTTAGTTTACTTGTATACTCTTGTTGATTTAGCATGAATTTCACCTCCATTTTTCTACTAAATATGTTCTATTATAAATGGAAATTTAATTCAGTCTCTTATTCAAGCTTGACCAACATTCACAAAATCCAACAGAATACTGATATTGAAGAGGTACAATGCAAATTTGCAGTAAAAAATAAGAAATATATATTATATAATATAATTATTATTTATATAATATTATTATAAATATAATATACATATAAGCATTATATCGTTTGAAGCGACGCACATGAATTAAGTGCAGAGAGTCATCATACTTTCGAATGACTGTGTAAACGGATTGAATTGAATATTCACTTGGGTCAAGATGACCACAATCGAATTTTCTTTTCAAATATACGAAAATAAAACAAGCAACTTAGAATGACGCATATTAGTATGATATTTGTTTCATTAGTGGTTGCACATTCAAAATCTAAATACAAAAATTAAACAGCAAATTTAATATTTATTTTAAGAATAATAAATGGTTTCAAGCAACACAGCAATATGCAATGCTTGGCATCTGGGTTGCCAAAAATGCAAGTCATACGAATAAAAAATGAATCTCGCAATAGTAGTAATATTACTTACCAGTTGGTGTGCAGCAAAGAATTGGCCTCCTAAGAATATGCGCAGTCACAATTTTCAGTTGATTTTTTTATGCAATCCAAAGTTGAAATTAAAACAATGCTTGTTGATAAAAATTGAAAAATATTTATTTGTGATTCAATTTTACATTCTCGAAAATGGCATGGCGATATTCATTAGTAAAAATTGCTTATTTCTGATTGTCGGTGTCCAAAAAGACTTTGGAATTTGCAAATGACAAACATTATTTTTAATTTGATGGATTTTTATTATATTTTGTTGTCGAATACGTTGATTTTTTTGTCAAGTAGCTAGATTATTTTATTTAGTATAAAAGAAGGCGATCTCATAAATCATTTATCAATGTACTGTACATTCATTCGTTAAAACTATTGATAAAATATTTTCTCTTTTGCAATGACACCAGAATTGTTTCGTCGATTTCTTATGGTTTTTCCATACAAGTCTTTTTTTAAATATATATTTTTTTAAATAGGTTTCTGTAAATATTTAATAAAATTAATAATCTTTTCTAAAATGTATATATGCCAAAATGTGTCCATTCTGTTATTTTTCGATCTGGAACTGAATTTAAATTTCAATTGGATCATTTTTGCATAATTCATATTGCAAATAATATGAAATATTACAATCAAATGAGAAACAGTAGCAATTAATATTTAGCTGGTCCTGCGCACAATTTATTCTCTTTTCAAAAAAATACAATAAAAAATGTATAGAAAAAATTTCATAAATATATATTTCTTTTTCTTTTTAAATAATTGCAAAACAATACTCTGTACTATATGTATGATAGAATTCACGAGGTGTTAATATTTATATGGAACTAGTGCAATTGGAAGGAAATTCTAATATATATAATGCCTTTGTTCGAATAAAAAAGGTCAAATTGCTTATACAATTTTCTATGAAAAAATACAAACATTTTTTTTTGTGATGGACTTTTAATAAGTGCACAATGTTCATTTTGTGATTTCATAATTGCTTCTCTTCGTTTCTTCTCTGTAAACATTCAAATAAATCTCTTTTGATAAATTGATGTTTTATATATATATATATATATTTATAGATAAAATTATATTAAATCTCTTTAATTGGATGGATGGTGTAAAAAAATACTCGATTAAAATATTAGAAATGCCAATATTTTTTTCTCTTTTACAATTTGTTCGTGTAAACTTTTGATTTAAATCAAGGTACATAATTTAAACGATTAATATATAATAATTTGATCTATGTATTGAGGAACTTTTATGGATTTATCGATTTCTTTTTTGTGTATGTTCAAATGACAAGCCTTTTATTTCTCTAATAGAGAAACGCACGTAGCGTGCAAATATGTCAAAATCAAGAGAAAAAAAAATACAAATTACAAAGCGAATAATATTCGTTTGACTAGTCATTTATCGATTGCATCTATAGAAATCCACATATATCTGATTTAAATCTATATTTTGCAGTGCTCATGGATAGACTTCATTCTAGAATTTATTGCAATAAAACTAATCGCCATTGCGATCTTTACTGATATTTTATCGATCTTATAATCTAAATTCCAATCGGCTCAAGCATCGAAAATGAGTTTTATTTATCGAAATTTTGAATCTGTTTCATGACCCACGACGAGTTTTTGTTGGTAAAATTGCGAGCTGGAACGGGTGGGGGTGGTGGTGCCATTTGTGGTGGCTCACTTTCTTCTTGTTTTTCTTTTTCATCTAATGATTTTTGTTTCTTGGTGATTATCGATTCCGACGGTACGATTTGATCGTCCAATGAAGACGACGACTTCGACGATGAAGAAGATTCACTTTTTTGAATTGGATGTGATTTTTCGTCGAACGGTGTCGGTGGTAATGGTGTTGCCAATAATTTTTCAAGTGTTTGTTCGCTGCGTAAACCGATTTTTGCTGGTAAAGCTGACGGTGTAATGATGGGTTTTGCTGGAAGTGGTGGTGGTGCTTGTGACGGTAATGGCGGTGCTGAACGTATAATAATATTTTGCACTTTTGCCAAATTCAATTTTGGCGGAATGGCCGGTTTGATTTTTTCCTCTTGTTTCACTTCTTCGATGGTACTGTAAATGTGTTCGGGACGAATGTATTGTTTTTCGTTATTGTCATCACTGTAGATGGCCGAATCACGGAAAATGCCATCATTTTCCAAATATGATTCAACTGTTTTTTCATAGTATGAATCATCTCCACTGCTGCTCGAATTCGAATGTGATGGTGACGCTTTGGATACATTTGACGATGACACATCGGATTCAATTTTAATTTGATTTGTATAAATCACCGTAACCGGTGCCGAATCAACCGATGGTTTTGATAAAGTATCTTGACTTGCCGCTATGTTCACACTGTCATTTGATGATGTCAATGAAAATGCTGAATCTCGTTGTATATTTATCAAACTTTGAATAAACGGTTTACTTGTAAATGATGTGTACGTATTGTTATTTGCAAACAAAATCTTTGGATCGGCATAATCAACGGAAGCAATTCGAGATCCAAGCGCCTTACTACCTTGCTTATGTATTATACTCTTTCGATGCATTCCAGTTACATCGGACACACGTCGTTCGGGTAGTTTATTTGATGCTTTACCGAAATTCAAATGATCAACACTTTTGTGAACATCAGTGGCGTTGCCGTTTTGTTGTGACAAGAGATCAGATGATTTGGTCGTTTCAATTGTTGTAACGTACACGCTACTATAATCGGTTTCACTAGATGTACTACATCTCGATCCTTCAATTCCACCGAATGAACTAAACGATTCGACAGATGGCACCTTTTCGTCCGATTTTCGTACATGATAGTTGATGTTTGTGTCACTTTTTCGAAAGTGTGAACCATGTTTTGGCAATCGAATGTCATCATCAATGCTGGTTATTTCGCCGTTTTCATCATATGTCAATGTGACATAATCGGAATCAGGCCGTTTAGGTGGTGCTTCTGTGGGTCGTTTTACTTTTAAAAATCGACTGCTCGGTTGTGATAATGATCGATTCAATATTGGAGACGGAAACTTATATGGAACATGAACATTTCGCAATAATGATTCATAGATCGGTTCGGGCGGTAGGTCACGTTGAATGAACGCATCGTTCGATTTCGTTTCGTTTGCTTCGACCGGTATTGGTGGCAATGGCAATTTGAAGAATGCTTCACTTTTTGCGAATTTTGAATTTCGAAGCTCATGGCTCGGCGATGATTTTTCCATTTCATTCAGCTTCTTTGGTGGTTTCTTCAAAATTCGATCAAATTCTTTGTGATCTTTTAACAATTCGGAAATAATGTCGATGTCACGTTTATTTTTATTCATCGTTAGTTTTTGATTGAGAGTGGTGGGCGTTAACAACGACACACTTGACAATTTTCGATTGGTATCGTCCAAAGCTTTTGAAATTGTATCGGTTGCATCGAGTGATGCACGACGTCGATTAACACGTACATCGTTCATGGACAAATCATCAGATGTTTCGGTGATTTTTAGCACCGTTTCGGTATTTTCTTCTGGCAAAGCCATATAGAATTTTGATGTTTCCTTTAGTGTTTTTGATCGTTGTTTCTTCAAATTTGCAATGCGCTTCGGCAGAGTTTTCGTATTATAAATACGAACCTCAAGCAATTTTGATTTCGCTTTGTCCAACGCCGATGCTGGTTTGCTGGGCAGTGCTTTATTTGCATCGAACGGAATTTCATATTCATTGCCGATGCTTAGATCATCGTTTTCATCAGTTCTTGACTCGAAATCAGTCGGATGAGTCGTGGCACTTGTTATTGATTCACCATCATCACTTTGTTTGATCAGTGAATTTCGTTGTTGCAATTCTTTTATCATCGAATCCAATACTTTTGTCTTGCCATTCGTATCGCTTGGATTGTTTATCGATTCATTGAATTGATCTTCGACCATTGATAAACTCGAATTAAAAGTTTTTCGTTGTTTTTTCGATCGATATCGCATCTCACTGCGACGATATTGATTGCGTCGCTCCAAATATTCCGGTGTCGTTGAATTACTATTCCATCTCCATGTATTTTTATCGGTCGACCGATCTTCTTCTTCGCCAAGCTTGAACAGTAATTCCTTAGCACGTTTTGGAATATCAAAATGTGCCAGCATCACTTGTTTGATGTGCTGGGCCCATTTACGTTTCTGATCTCGATTTCGTGCAGTCAATTTAATTTGATTCGGATGCGGATCATTATATGGAATCACACTAAAACTCTCTGGATCACCCGGCAAATGTTCAATCAACATAAGGCTCTTACACTGAAAGTCAAAAAAGAAATCACACATTTAGATGAAATTTATTTGAAAAAAAAAAAAAAATATCAAATTCAAATTCAATTAATCTTACATGAATGTATGTTTTAAATTGAAGTCGATTATCTTCCTTCTTTTTGGTGATGATGAGCATACTTTCAAATAGCAGTACCGTTCGTGGTTTTCCATTTTCACTGAGTATTCCCTCAAGTACCAAATCACCTAATACAGTGAGTTCCGGTCCAAGCCAACCATCCAAAATGCCAGACAACTCTCGTACACGACTTTGTTGCTCCAAATTACGCTTCACTTGATCGATGTGTTGAGCTACATTTCTCATAATTTCGTGAGCTTGCACAACTTCAACGACATCACAATGCTTCCGAAGGTTCTGAAAACAACGAAAATCAATAAAACGCCAAACGATTAATTGTTTTTTTTTTTATTTCATCAGTTTTTTTGTGTGTGTTTGATAAATGACTGTCAATCAAACCGAATGGAATGAACTGAAGTTGTAAAGGCTGAATTCGATCTATGGCATTGTTACTTGTTTTTTAAATTCATTTACATTAGTTGAGAAATGTGTTTTGTAATAATCGAATGCCCTTGAAATAAGTGAGTTCCTTTCTCAAAGCACAATTTAGTGATACTTTATTATCATCTTCCATTCGCTCATTTCATTTCTAATCAATTTTTTGTTTCGCATTCAATTTCAATAGTCTTCATTTGAATGTCGCACATTCAAATCGAAATAAAAGTATTTTTAGCGCTAAAATAATCATGTTCATTGTGCACATATGGTGTGCACGCCGAATCAACAAGCCATTTGCCAATTGAGTTAAATTCTCAAAATGAGCATATAATTGTTCAGATTGAATTGAGCTTTCCATATAACTAACGCAAGTCATATCATAATAATTATAACATAGAGAGCTATAGATAGAAGAAAATGTGAAGAAAAAATGAAATAGAAATAAAATTGTTTGTATTTACATCGAGCAATAAATGGTACTTGAGAATGCGTTGAACTGGTTTCAGTAGATATGAGCCCAGCGGCAGTGTATGTTGTAGACTTTTTTGTGTTGTGGCTAACAAGGCGTTCGTATGCGAAGCCTGTAACAACGTTGTTAACAACGATATGGCATCTGGATAACTGGTGCTGTAAATAGAAAACGAAATACACAAATTAGCACATGAAAATCCCCAGAATTTCATAAATGATTTGAAAGCGGAAAATTCCAATGCACTTGCAAACATGAAACGTAGTTGAACATATACAAATTTAATTATGCCGAAAAATACTTTAAGTGATTCGATACAAAAGTATGCAGACGAAATTGGTCATGCAATTTGTAAATGCACGTGTAGGGTTTTTTACGGATGAAATGGTAAAAATGCTCATGTCAATTTGTCGTTTGAATAAAATGTGCTGTTTTCGTTGTAGTTGTTGCTGCTGCTGCTGCTGGCTAACGAAGTGGAACAGCCGCGCAACAAGCAATGTCAAACATTCGAATAAAAAAAAACTTTACGTCACACGAGATTTATTCATATTTCAATTTCATATAAGATGTTCTCCAGCGAACGTAAACATAGAAAAATTACAAACAACACAGCAATTGTTCTCTCATGCGGTAAACGAATGTGTATTTGGGGAAGAAGAGTAGAGAATGAGATGAAATGTGATTTTGATTGAGTGTAATTTTTGAGATTGCAGCGGAACTGATACACATTGCCAATGTCAATGTTTTGTCATCTGTTTAAAACGGAAAACGACGAAAAAACACGTCCCC